TAAATCTCACAGTGGTGATCATGTGACCTCTGTGGCTGTCAGTGGCCAATGTGCGGAAGGAGATGGAAGCATGAAGGTACCAATGTTTGTCCGCCAGGTTGTGTTAATAGAATAAGGTGACTAAGGATATTTCGTCTCTAGTTATCAGTATGGACATTCTAGCTGTTCTGCTCTATACGCTCAGAGCAGCCAACACAAATAACAGCAAGATGGATCTATCTTAGCACTGTCCCAAGACTCAAGTATCACATCAGGTATCTTCATCTGCGCTACACTAGCATTCAGTATTTGGCATGCCGCTTCGTTGAAAATGCAGAATTGTTACTCTCCATGTCCTTTGCCCCATACCGATCCCAGCTACTGCTGTCACATCTCCTGCCTACATGTAGTCAGATTTGGGTATGACTGCTACACTAACAAGACATTGAATTTCGCAGTGATATGAGTTGGCCACTGGTGTAACGTCAGCAAATCCCTCAAATGAAACCTCGGAGCGTCAGAGTCAGGATCGCTTGATATTCCAAGCACGGGGCTGGCAGACAAAGAAGCCCGCCAGGAGATCGATGAAGCGCAAGGCCGCTATCTTAAAGACTCGAAAGTCCGCAACAACATGGATGGAGTCGAAATATTTGAGCTGGAAATCATCTGATTTGCATAGTTGCATACTGTTCATCTGTCCAGACATTATCGCAGCAGATATCATAACCTCAGAAGGCAGGCCCGAGTCATAGCATCGACTGACTAGCAATGAAACCCATGGATGTGCTGTACATGTTCCTTGTTCCTATGCTTGCTACCGATCGTCATATATCCCTTCTTCGAATTTCTGAGTATCATAGAAACGTGCTGTGATTGTGTTGCCGTTGAACACTCGGCCTTCCAGGGCATTCACCGCCTGATACATTTTGTTAGTGCCCGGACTGGATGGCCCTCTGAATTCTGGAATACTCACGCGTAAAGCCGATAACTGGTTAGTAAACTTGACAAAGACCGGCACTGGGGGACCAGATTCACGGGAAATGAAGACACGCTCCACACGACCGTACTGTTTTAGTGTTAGATGGTAGCAACCCAGTCATAAACAGAGAAGCGTACCTTTTCTGAGCATTCCTCGCCGATCTCTTGCATCAGCCCTCCGTCTTGATCACCCTCGAGTTCAGCATCCACATCCATCCCCTCAAGCATACCCTTGAGGATGATGACTTCGCTCATACGGCCGAATTTGCCCTCCTCTTCATCCGCTTTCCTCTTACCACCAATGATTTTGCCCCTGCCAGCAGGAGTAACAAAACCACCGCCTTCCGAGTCTGGCCGCTTCTTTTGCTTCTCGACTTTGACCTGCAACGGTTTGACGATACCCGACCCCGTGGCACCCAAGCCAGATCCCTTGGTCCATCCATACTTCGCCAGCAATCTCTCAGCAAATCCCTTTTGTCCTGGTCGGAGTGAGCGCTGGCCATCTTCTTCGTCGGGTACTTCCTCCGCAGGCTCTTCCTTCGCAAAGACTTCTTCAAGCTCCGCTTCTGTGGCGGGAATATCTTCCGGAGGTGGAGGCAGGGTATATCGGACCGGCGCACGAGAGATAGTGGCAGTGGCTGGCTGCAGCGCATCCAAGGGCCGAGGCGGAGGCGGAGGAGGCGGCTGCAGTGCAGGCTGAGCTGCAGCCACCATTTGCAAACGTCTCAGGTAGGCATCTTCACCGGTGGGGTCATCCGGAATTGGAGCAGAAGGCTCTTCTGGGGGAGGCGGAGGCGGAGGCGGCGTCTGAACAGACATTAATGTATCTGATTGACCTGCCGTCAGGCGCGCGCGTCGAGCAAATGCATCGTCTCCTGTGGCCTCATCTAGCGGTGCAGGAGGGATATCGTTGAGGTTAGGCGGAGGCGCGAAACTCCTTGGAGGCGCAAATTGTCCTGCAAAGGATTGTGAGCATTTGAAACGTTCGTTGTCGCATGCAAACGGAAGCATACTATTCATTGGTCTCGATTCATCGTCGCTATACGAGTTCCTGCTCGGCGACCGTGCCATCCGGTGTGCGTAGAGGCGATCTTTCCACTCGCGCACCTCGGCAATCTGCTCATCACTATGCTTATACTCTTCGTAGATGTTCGGTCTTGAAGGGTCGTAGATGTCATCCCAATTCTGGACGAACGCCTGCGCTTCCCGGTTCTTCTTGCGCTTTTTGCGACCGCCACGCTGTCTCTTCTCGCCAACGTAGAATCCATTGACATCGTCATCCTCGGTTGCTGCCCAGTCAGCAAGAGTGGTCTTCACGGGAGGAGCCGGCGCAGACGCAGCGGCAGGGGTCGTCTTGGGTAGCGCTGGTTTCGGCTTAGGCTTCTGAGCCGCTAGCTGTGGTCTTTTCGTAGGCTGAAATCGAAGAGAGGCTGAATACCCGAGAAGAAAAGAAGAAGGCCAAGTGAGCAATCAGATCGTCAAATTGGGATACATGAAGAGAACTTCTCGATCACGAAAGGAGGGTATGAGCTACCAGCACTTAATTGCTGCTTTTTGGCAGCTGGATCATCTGCCTGTGAGTCGTCTTCCGAAGCCTGCTTGAAGACAACTGGGGCGCGAGAAATTGTTCCAGGAGTGGATGTATTGGATGATGGGTCGAGGAGATTGGCATAGAGAGACAGGCCTCCCCCTTTGGATGGGGTCGAATCCGAGGCCATGGATAAAAGTATAGAAGAATAGAGGTAGGAGGAGAACAGAAGAAATAGTTCAATACACAAGACGGCGAACAAGATCTATAACATTGCTCTTGCGAGGAGGACCGTTGTTAAGAGTTGGAGATGCGGAGTAATTCCATGCATAAGGATGTTTGCTCGACTTGCACTGTTTGCCATATTTTGGCTTATCCTTACATAAGCCACCCGGAGCCACCCGCTCGAAAGGAGAAAGACAGGGAAGAGCAAGAAAACCGGGCCTACGATAACTGACGACTAATCCGAGCTTTCGCAACTAAGTCCGAGGACCCATGGGCTTGACCATCATGGATATAATAATGGAACATCTACTTCAATCGCGTAAGATACGTGAGTCGTATCCGCAGAATCCCTACGTTCATCCTGTGTCATCTATCCTAGATATATCTATTTTCCATCACTGTAAATAACCCCCTGACGGCCAAGGCACGCCATAAGCACGATGGCCACACTAGCTCGGTCCCTCTCGCCCGACAGTCCAAGCGTTGCAGTGATAGTCCCTCACAAGCCGTCGGCCTTATCGGTCTCCTACCTGCAGCTTCATGCCCATATCGCCGACTTTCAAGCCAAGCTTGCTAGACTAGGGGTTGGCCATGGAGCTGCAGTATCACTGGCTCTCATCAATTCCTTGGAATTTATAGTCTCTTTCTTGGCTACATCATGGCAGCGAGCTGTCGCAGCTCCCCTCAACCCGGCATACAAGCAGGAGGAGTTTGAGTTCTACATCGATGACCTCAGCTCTAACCTGGTGTTGATTCCACGGGGCTCATTTGCGCAAAACGGTCCTGCTGTACAGGCTGCTAGAAAGTACAACGCTGCCATCGCGGAGTGTTACTGGGATGGGAAGGAAGTTGTACTGGACGTCAAGGAACTGGGCAAACTGGCAGGAAAGGGCAGCACTGGTATCCTCGAAGCACAGCCTGATGATATTGCCCTTGTTTTGCACACCAGTGGGACAACTGGTAGACCCAAAGCTGTATGGCCCTTTAACGCCTGAATGCGACCATCATACTGATCATAATATGGGAACAGGTCCCGTTAACACACAAGAACCTTGCCGCCACCATGAGTAAGTGGACAACACAGTATGGCATAGTCAAAGTTTACTGACCACTCACAGAGAATATTCGGGAGACATATCAGTTAACCCCCGAGGATCGGACGTACTTGGTGATGCCTCTATTCCACGTTCATGGGCTGCTGGCCGGCTTCCTCGCCCCTCTCTTTTCAGGAGGCTCTGTGATAGTACCGCTCAAGTTCTCTGCCTCGGATTTCTGGCATGATTTCGTAACTCACCAGGCGAACTGGTACACTGCTGTGCCTACGATCCACCAGATTCTCCTAAAGACCCCTCTGCCAAATCCCATTCCCAGGATCCGCTTCATCCGCTCATGCTCGTCGCCCCTTTCTCCCAAGACTTTTGAGGATCTGGAAAGAACTTTCAAAGCCCCCGTTCTGGAAGCGTACGCGATGACAGAGGCTGCCCACCAGATGACGAGTAACCCTCTCCCACCGCGAAAGCGCCAACCCGGCAGTGTCGGCATCGGACAAGGCGTAGAGGTCAAGATCCTCGATCAAGCTGGCCAGGAAGTGCCTCAGGGCAGGGAGGGGGAGATTTGCGTCCGTGGTGACAACGTGACCAAGGGATACCTGAACAACCCGGCTGCCAACAAGTCGTCCTTCACCAAGGACGGATTCTTCCGCACGGGCGACCAGGGAAAGAAGGACCGCGACGGCTACGTTATCATCACCGGCCGTATCAAGGAGCTCATCAACAAGGGCGGAGAGAAGATTAGCCCTATCGAACTTGACAACACGCTGCTGTCTCATCCCCAGGTTGCGGAAGCAGTCTGTTTCGCTATCCCGGACGAGGGTCACTACGGCGAGGATATCGGAGCAGCGGTCGTCTTGAAGAGCGGCGGCGCTGCAACCGAGGCGGACCTCAAGGCATGGGTGGCCGGGAAGCTGGCCAAATTCAAAACCCCGAAGCAGGTATGCAAATGTTCTTGTGGCCAACGTGTCTTCCTGAGCAATGAACTAACGCCATGCAACAGGTCTGGATAGTCACGCAGATTCCAAAGACAGCAACGGGAAAGATCCAGCGTCGCAAGGTAGCGGAGGCGATGCTCCAGCCCAAGGCGAAGCTGTAGTCACATGCATATTGTATATACGAACAAACTTCTGAACATAGATAGCAGCACCATCGCTTGGGTAGATTACGAGACTTATCATCAATGTATTATCTCACACAAATACATTACTTGTCCATAGTGTCCCACCTGACTCTAGTACTCACAGTGCCGTCCGAACAGCAGATTTGAACTGAACCACCATTAGCCCCAACAAGCAAGCAAGTCAGTCAAAGAAACCCAATCACGTACCGGAATAATCTGCGCCTTTTCCATATCCCACACCCCACTCCGAACATAGATATCCTTGCTCAGGAGCTCCCTCGCCTGCTCCTCGCTCTCGGCCATCAGCAACATCGCACTCCCCTTGAACGAGGGCGTGCCCTCGGTAGAATGAGACTCCAGCATAGCCCCTGCTCAACTCACTCAGCCATCTCCTCTGCAAGGAACATCGAGGCCAAATGGCAGGAAAAAAAAAAAGCTTGCAAGATACTCACCTCCCATCGTGATCACCCCATCCGCAACCAGGGGCTTGACGCCCTCCAGGTGGGAGCTGCAAACCCATCTCAGTACCATATCTCGTAAACTCTAGCAGCAAAGAACCTAGGACGCTGGAAAAAGTGACTTACGCGCGCACCTCCAGCCTCTTAGCCAGAGCATCCGGCTTATCGGGCAGGATGCAGAGGAACTCATGCTTGGTGGAAGCCATGATGGTAGTCGAGAATGCTCGGGCGAATGATCGGTTGAGAAAAGCGGGGGAGGTGAGTCTGGTTAGATGCAACATGAGTGTTGATGAGGTGGATGAGAAAGGTAAGAGGCTTAAATATCTACTGTTTTTGTTCAGGTACCCCTCGGTACTCTACTTCGCATTAAAGCCGGGATGGGTAGGTTCGGCGTGGGGCAGAGGGACCGTGTCACAATGTGGGGAAACGTTCTACACCTGCACCGGATAACAAACATGATGCGAGAAGACGAGGACGTTAGCAATGCTTGCTTCTTCACCACGCGATTTACTGCCAATCGGTATGCAACTACATGGTCTCCGTCATAATCTTCATTGGTCGGATGAATCCGCTAATGTCGCGAGATAGCAGCAGCCCTTGTGGCTCAGCAGATGGGCTTAAACAGATGTTGAAGACTTGGTATGCTTGTCGGAAATTCACTTTGTGTAGGTACATATATATGTATGTACATGAATGGTTGTGACCTCAATGCCTGATCCATCTCCCTGTCCATCTCAATTTGACATCAACGCCTTGGACGCCCCCTGGCCCAGTAATTATGTCTCTCTGCCAAATGCTCAGGCATTCATTCAATGAACCTCTGCATAATACACGACAAGTTTGAGAACGACGTCACTGACTGATCCCGACTCGGAAGGCAACTGGGAACGAGTCTCTGATCGGAGAGAATGGCGATCCCAAGAGACAGCAATGACAGATTGATAGCGTCAGGGTCGTCACGTCCGTCTGCCTGATGACAGAAAGATCAAGGACAAGACTCAGGCAGCTATGAGGTCAACCAATCAGTCGACCAGTCAACTCTATAATCCTCCAAATACCGCTGAACAACGTCCCCGAAGCGCCAAGGAAACAGCACATAAAAAGTCCCTAGAACACAACACGAAGAAGATTGAAGATTATTGATATCATTAGATATCCGTTTCAAAACGTCACTGAAGAAAACAAGAGCATAGAAATGAATAGCTGGGAATGTAACCAGCAATGATGAATATGGTTGAGAACTCCACGCAATCATCCTGACGGCAACTGCGTCAGATATCTGTGGACAAACGGGTATTGAGCGTAAATTGGAGAGGTGGTCTATCAGGTCTACTTCGGCAAACCCGAATGCATGGATGGGGCCATTGACTCATATCGGTGATTTCTAGTACGCTTTGCGATCCCCGAGGTTGCCGGGCTTCTCTTCGGTGTCGATGTGCCACACAATGTAATTCGGCAAGCCGTACACCTCGTATCCAGCCCGCTTGGCCATACGGGCAAACCCCTCCGTTTCAGCCTGGTTCTCGAACGCATAGGCTGGGAAGTTGATGCCTATAGTGTGGACCGTTAGAACTCAAATGTATGTGGTGATGACAGAATATGCACCAACCTGAACGGTGAACGTCCGCCTTGACCAGAATGTTGACACCACCGATGCCGTCAAGCTCAACCTCCTCGTCCTTGTTCTTCCTCCAGTCACCCATTCCAACGAGGTATTCCCGCCCAGTATCATATTCCTTGTATCCCTCAGCGAGAATAGTGTCCGGGTCCAAAGTCTGTCTCAGTCTGCGGCCTTTGTCGGATTCGATCCACGAATTGTAGTCAACTAACGATTGTCAGCAAATGCTGCTACCAGAAGATGGAAACAGGCATGCACATACAGCGACCCTCAATATCACGACCGTCCTTGTAACGATGGAACCAAATGTCTGGAACAGAATAATACGTTAGCGCTGAAGTAACTGGAATAGAAGAGTGCGACATACTAGGAACAAGAATGTCCCTATTGTGGGACATAAAATCTTCCAGAATAGTTGGAGGGCTGTCAACGATATCAACGTCCCTCCAGTAGACCCAGGAGTGATCAGGCTTCAGAGCGGAGTAGAGTAGGTAATTGCGAGCTCGGGCGATAGCCTTGCGCCGGGGGCCCTGAGCCGCAAAGGAGTGTCGATCCTCAACATTCATGCCAGTATCAGCTCCGAATTCCTTTTGGATGATTGTCGCGCTGCGGAAAGCAATTTTGTCTTCCACTTGCTCTTGGATTCTGTTCAGCTCCTTGGCAAGAAGAGCGAGCGTGTCATCCTGAGAGTCGCCAACAAGGAACGCCAGATCAATGAGCTCATGGGGGTAAGTGATGTTGTAGAGGAGATCGAAGTATTTTTCCAGATGAGGCGCGGCATCTCTCAGAGGAGTGAGGATCAGCACTCGCTCCTTGTTTTCCTTAGCTGCACGGGTGGAACTAATGCCGTTGAGGTCGACATTGATAATACTGCTGTCGTTTACGACATAGGGCTCATGGTGGTTAAAAATCACGGGAGTCTGAGTATGCGCCATCCATGCGTTCATCTCGTTGATGGTCATTTCCATTGGAGATTTGGGGGGGCCATAGCAGTAGAAACTGATCACACCAACCCCTTGTCAGAACCACTTCACACTTCTGTCATGACGACCGAATGGATACTCACTTTTGCATTCCAGATGCTGACTTGCTGATTCCACGCCATAATAAGATCAAAATGCCTGTGAGAGCTAAAGATATCAAGAATCGCGGCCGAGTAAGCAGAACAACGACGGCCCTCCAGGGAGGGAGTCGAGCTTTGGCCGACTTCCACGTTACGCCACCCTTAGGAAGAAGCATCTTTGCAATATGTGACCAGGGAATGCGCTGCGACTGACGAGATACCGTTCGATTACTCGGAAAATCGGCACGGTCTGGAAACGGCAACGGTTCCTGGAAGAAGGTGTGTTGTGGACACTCAACGTCGAACGGAGATAACCAGCCGACCGCACGGTAGATGTAAATCCTCGAAGCTGTTCACAAGCAACCTTTAATCGACACAATTCGAAGCAACTTTCAACGAGTCGGCCTGCCTGGCACTAAAACGAGAGGAAAGAAGTCGATAACGCGATAAATCGCGAAGTAGGGAGGAATGGCTTGGTGGAGATGGAAAAAAGGTGGTCTTGCGGGAAGGGTGCTGCCAGTAGGGCACCGCAAGAGAGGAGACAACAAACGAGTGTAGATGGAGCCAAATGTAATTATGAAATAAATGTATATCTAAGACGAAGGAAAAGAAGAAAACCAAAGGTCCAGCGAAATCGAAGATGGGTGACGATGCTGCCAGAGAATCAGGCCGTTTTGGGAGAAGGAAAAACGAGCCGTGGAAGAAGGATGGGGAGTTTTGCCTGTAGAGTACAATCTGGGCACGGGGATGGCAGAGCCCAGAACACAGAATAAGTCCACCGTTGGATTATCACTTTCTATAGGTGGTGGTCGAGTCAACCGCGGAAATTTATCACTAATATTATCATCACTGCAGAATGGTTCTAAAGTAGCATTAATTTGAAAGCTCTAGAATTGATCTCCTGTCCAATATCTCGTCAATATTGTGGTGTTCTCGACCATCTTTGTCGACAACCACCATCGCGGCGAAAAGGGGTTGTTCTTGGCAGTTGGTTGAGCCATCAAAGCGCATCCCATTCGCCAACTGGAGAGATTTGCTATCCCGAGATCTGTATAGATGCCTCAGCATTGTAAATTTGCATGCAATTCGGAGCGTAGTCAATCGAAGATGATAGAAATTTTTATTCATGAATCATGTATTTGCTGGTGTGTACAGCCTATTATATCCTGAGATAAGAAACCGAAACCAGCACCTGACATTTCGCCTATGGGAGCATGAAGGAAACCAACATCAGGCCAGCCCAGAAACGACATATATTCCAAACACCAAGTTTCCGCTGGGAAACAGAACCAAACAAAGGAAATACACAGAGGAATCGAATAGCCATTTCTTTTTCCTTTCAAGTGTACCACCCGTTTTCTCCAATGTTCGCCAACAAATGCACCATAAATATTCTATAATCCGCGAGATAAGCTGAGATATAACCGACATCGAACGTAGAAAACTGCAGAATGAAAAGCGCATCACTGTTCAGAGAGTTGATGTTGATACAATGCAAACGCTCAACCGCGATAGACAATCGAAAGCAAGCCGGTTCAGGGCGACAACCATTCTATGACCTAGGGAAACTCATGACAGAAGGACGACCTTTGAAGTCATCACATAATATATGCATTTCTCTGCATCACGGTGATGGGATCAGAGATTCGCGCCGCGATTGTGCAACCGAATAAGTTGTATGAGGAAATACAGGTGATGAAGGCCCTGTCATGGGAGGAGTGGCAGAGAGAAAGGTGTGTCCGAAGGACTGCCCGTGGGAGGAGCCTGGATGCAAGGGCTCGGGGGCGGCGTTCGGGGCGGTGATCCCATCACAGAGCACTCGTAAGCCAGGAAGCACATTGTGAGTCTTGGCTTCAGGGACCTGTGCCAGAGGACGAGGGCTCGTTTGCTCGCTCTTGGGCGACCGGAACATGTGCTCATACGACTTGAGCTGAAACTCAAGTGCTTGGTTTCGCTCTTCCAGCAGCTGATTCTCCTGCTTCAGAACCTTGATCTGCTGCTGGGCTGTCTGGTGCTGCTGCTGCAGGTTCGCCACCAATTGCTGGAGCTGCATGCAGCGGATCTGGGGCTGCAGCTTCTCTGACAGCTGTCGAGGCATTTCATTCTCCTGGCGAATCAGGTGCACGATGATCAGCAGCATGAAGTCGATGAGGAAGATGGCTCCCTGAACGATGTGTTCCTTGGATTCCGGCAAGCTCTTGGCCGGGTTCCAGCCTGCCCGTTCAAGAAAGAAGTCATGAATCCGGCTATCAAGCTCCCGGTGCAATTGGCTGAGGTTCTTGCGTCGGTTTCCCTCGGCAATGCGATGCTTCTCTCGCTGATCATCAACATCGGCAGAGATCATGCTTCCCTTGCGCTTTCTTCCGCACAATTGCTGCAGCGGTGGTTTCCGATTGATGTTCTTCGGGGCAATCAAGCTCAGCAGGTCGGCCGGAGAGAGTTCCTGAGACCAGTCAAAGGCCTTGCGAGGCGTCAAACTGTCGGGCCAGGAGCTGTCGGCGGAGTTGGCTGGCGAAGGAGGAGTC